AAAGGGTAGTCAGGCATTGGAACAGGCTGCCCAGGGAAGTGGTTGAGTCCCCATCCCTGGAGGTATTTAAAAGATGGGTGGATGTGGTGCTTAGGGCCATGGTTTAGTGGTGGACTTGGCAGTGCTAGGTTAATGGCTGGACTTGATTATCTTAAAAGTCTTCTCCATCCTAAATGATTCTATGATTCTATATAAATATAGGGAGGCCTGGCAGATTGATTGCATCACACAATTGTGGGACAAATCTGCTAAGGCAAGCACCATGTGCTTACAATGTTGGATGCAACCACCGGATGCCTGGAAACATATCTCATGCCCCATGCCACCACCCAGAACACTATCCTGGGCCTTGAAAAGCAAGTCCTATGGCTACATGGCACCCCAGAAAGAACTGAGTCAGACAATGGGACTCATTTCCAAAACAAGCTCATAGTCACCTGGGCCAGAGAGCATGGCACTGAGTGGGTGTATCACATCCCCTATCATGCACCAGCATCTGGGAAAACTGAACGATACAATGGACTGTTAAAGACTACACTGAGAGCAACGGGTGCTGGAACGTTCAAACATTGGGACACACAGTTAGCAGAAGCCAGCTGGTTAGTTAACACTAGTGGATCTGCCAATCGAGCTGGACCTGCCTAATCAAAACTTCTATGTACTGTAAAAGGGGATAAAGTCCCTGTAGTACACACAAAAAATATGCTGGGGAAGACAGTCTGGGTTATTCCCACCTCAGGCAAAGGCAAACCTGTCCATGGGATTGCTTTTGCTCAAGGACCTGGGTACACTTGATGGGTGGTAGGGCAGAATGAGGAAATCCGATGTGTACCTCAAGGGGATTAGATTTTGAGTGCAAATAGCCAATGAACTGAATTATATGATGCTAATTGCTATATAATGCTGTATATCATCACTTCTATGGTGGCTATATGCCATATCAATGGTATTACAGTAACAATCACCCAGATTAATGAAGAGTGAACTTTGATGAACCCGAGCAAAGTGCAGCAATAATGGAACCAGAACTGGCTTCAGCATGCAACAATCCAGCACTGCACACCATCTCTCCTGCCCTGAAGAACTGTTGTGACAGATGGAGCCCAAAGTCATGGACTGAATGAACTCAACGAACATTTTATAGGGATGGCCCATAGACTAAGGGAATGATATCTGTGTGTATATATCAAAAGACAAGAAAAGTGGTTGTGATTAGTTAGCATGTATTGGAAAGTGTGGGACCTGTGCATGATGTAGATGGTATAGAATAAGGGGTGGATACGTAACCGCAGCGCCTGTAAGCTTTAGACAGAGAAACTGCAAAACTTCATTTTATGTTTCAGTCAGTGATACTGCAATAAATATATAACATGCAAGATACTTTTTTTAGAATCTCATTTAACTTTTATAATGTACATTCAAAATGAAAGGTATAAACCTCTAATACAATGTCAGTCATTTTCCTTACAGATGGTGACTTTGAAACAGCAATGTTTGTGGGAGCTGAGAAATAGAATTTGATTTCTATTCTGGAGTTTATTTTTTATAACAAGATTCCTTGTTTGCTACCTGACTGACCGATAATTATCCTCTGTATTCAAGTGATTTTTTTAGCTGCATTGACAGGCACTAAAACATAACTTCAAACTTTGTATAACATTTCCATCTTTTTGTTGTTTTTGTGATTCCTTAGCCCATCATTCCTATGTATACTCAAAATGTCCGGGAAGGATATAGGATGTTTAAAGAAAGAAGTAAGAACTATAAAATATATTTTAAGTATTTGGAATGTTTTCTCCACTTTTCTCTTGGATTTCTCTCACTTTTCTCTTAGATTTTGCTTTTCAGACTTCTGCTTACTTTGGATTCTCTAACAAGCTTGCTGTGGGTCAGAGGTATCTCAAATATGGAAATAGCTCGTGTATAACTGGTTTGTGCTGTGTGATTTGGTTCTTTAATGCAGTCCTATTTCAGTGATCTGTTAAGTCTATCGAGCTTTGTTTTGGTGGACAGTTACCTAAATCCTGTAATTTCTTCCTGACTCTCAGAAAAAGCATGCATTTTTAAGAAGTCTTCCATATTAATCAGATTTCAACATTGGACTGTGTTTTCTGTGACTATAATCTCACTTTTTCCTCTCTTAAACTGTTTCAGGATTTTTTAGACAGTTGTATGAAAGTACTCGATTGCCACTTACTCCTCCATACGGAGGACTTCCAGTTAAATTTCGCACATACATTGGGGAGCCAATCCCTTACGATCCGAATATAACTACAGAGGAATTAGTTGAAAAGGTAAGTTAGATCTCCTTGCGATATTGAACTACATACTTTTCCCTCTATTATATATGCACTTGAAACTAGTTTTCTGTATGCTTGAATAAAGACAAATACACTTTTACTAGCTTGCTAAAGCAATGGGCAGTTGAGCTCCAGGATTATTGAATGTATGGATACATACATGTAAGTATCGACATAGTAAGAGTTGATTGGGATGCCCTCATCCTTTCAGAATGTGTGAGCTCTGTCGTCTTGGGATGCTAACTTTGTTTCTCCCATGCCTTTGATAACGTTGATAACTGAAATGATGTAAACTATGTTTTAAGTTCAGTTTTCAATAACTAGGAAAATAAATTTCATATATAACGAATGCCTTTGAGAATCTTCTCTAAGTACCATAGGGCTCTAGCAATAAAGTTCCACAAGATCTTCAGTCTCATTGTCAAAAGGAAAATGTTAAGAAAATAATTTGCATCCAAAATATAAAAATATTTTGAGTACCTACAGCTTGGTGAAATCATTGGTGCCCAGGAGCATAAAAATGTTTCTAGATCCAGAGTTCAGGCATTTTTCAAAGGACTGATCTATACAGAAAACACAGTTTTTTCAATTTTTCATAGAAGATGAAAGGAGGGCTTTATGCAAAAAAAATCTGCTATGGCCTAGGAATACACAGATCAAACACTTGTTAGGAATCGCTGATGTGAAAAACACCTTGCTGCCCCCAAAAAGATGCAAGAAGGCTAGATTTTCCTTCTTTTTTTTCTTTTTTTTTTTTTCCTTTTTTTTCCTTTTTTTTTTTTTTCTGGATCTACTGCAGATTGTTCTGGGATTCATAGCAGTGAAACCAGAAAGACAGGTTTGGTCTGTTACAAGGGAACTGCCCCAGCAAGCTGCGGAGTTTGGTCTTGGCAGGTTTAGGAGGCTGGAAGCAATATTAGGGCTAAGACTGCCCTTATGGTTATCCATATTCTTGGATTTTGGGGGAACAGTATTTCAAAACTGAAATTGAAATTTCCTATGACATTGATTTGCTTTATTAAGTCAAGCCTTTGACCACCCACTTCAGGGGGAGTATGGTTAGGTCTTCTGTGGCTCATCTTAGTTAAAAAAAAAAACAAATGGGGTTTGAGATGAGCAGTGGCCTGGCTGACCTCTATCTGATCCTGCCCTGGAAAGGAGTCAGGACATGAATCTGTGAGGAAAGGTTTGGCCACTCTTTTCTTATATTCCCAGTGATATTCTACCGTCACTCTGGGGTAGATCACCGGAGCATGCAGTTACCTTTTTTTCAAGTTTAAATACATGAGGAAAAACTAAGGGAGATTATTTCTTAGTCCTAGTAGAAATACAGAATATTTTATCCATTCTCTTCACAAACTTGCATTTGAATCTCATGCAGAGTAAAAATGAACCGAATTTAGATATGAATTCTCTTATTATGTGTATGCTGAATGTGATACAATTACGGAAGAGTTCATGTTGGGAAGGACAGGCGGAGGTCCCTACTCTGAATTCCTGGTCCCAGCAAGGTCAGCTATGAGATCAGACGAGGTTAGTCAGGCTTTATCCAGTGCTCTTGATGAAAACCTTCAGGGATGGAGATTACACAAACTTAATATTTGCACATGTTAAGGGCTACTTTGACTTAGTAATGATCAAGTTTGATAAATCTCAATAATTTGAGCCTATCCAAACTGCAATCAATGTTTTTATTCCTTTCCTTTCCAAGGAAAGTGTCATTAGGACAACTAGCTAATATAAAAGACAACTTTTTTCTTACAGTAGATCTTATGTGTGAATTTCCCAATACCTCTTGAACCTCTGAGAAGATGTCAGTGATTATACTGTTCTTCCTTGCATAAACAAGTCTGTAAAGGCAACTTTCTGTTCTCTTTGCAGACAAAGACTGCCGTCCAGGCTCTCATAAGCAAGCACCAAACAATCCCAGGCAGCATATGGAAGGCTTTACTGGAGCGATTTGATAAACGCCATAAAAGTGATTAGAAAAGCGTTTATTTCATTGTTTTTACAGCATACAGTAAAAAACAGTGTCTTACAGCAATGATGACTAATAATTTGTGATCAACCAGTTTAATTTACAAGTTTCTACAGATTTGACAGAAGAAAACAATTAACCTCTTGAAGGTTCCCCTGTGTCTTTGAGGATATTCTGAAGACAGAAAGACTGAAGAAGAAAACTTACGTATAATACCAACGCCACAGCTAAATTCCCCAAAAGGAAATCATGTAGCCAGGATTTGCCTGGTCCCTAAAACAAGTCTGAGAGCCTCAGAAGTTTTGTCTAGATCCGTGGTTTTATGTTTGGAGCGGTTC